TAAATGTTCATGTGCTGTTATTGGAAACAACATTAAATTTACTGATGAACTTAGAAGATTAAAAGCTAAGGTTGATGCTTAATTAAGTAATTTTTTTGCTTTATATAACTAATTTTTTAAGAAAACAAATTTATTTTAAAGTTTTAGTTAAACGTCATTTAGATTCTTATTTATCTTTCTTAAAATCAATATTATTTAGATGAATACATATCCTTGGGATATAACACTAAAGTCTAACGAACAAGAAGAGCTAATTGATGCATTAAACTTCATTATAGGTGTGTCTGGTTCTCATGAACAAGTAAATGAGATTCAACATTGTTTCGATACAGTGCTTAAATACTATCCAGGCATCAAGAAGGGAGAGTCTTCTCTAGAGTTCTGTAAAAATATTAAAAATTACTTTATTGAGTATTTTGATAAAAAACTTCAAGTAATAGATGATATGCTCAATTTGATTCGTGACATGTATTTTTTCTGTGACTCTGAACGTACTATTGATATTTATAATGAGTTCCTTTCACAACAAATTAACACAATATGTTTTCTAAAGAACATACCTTCTATTCTCCAAGAATTTCAAAGTGTCAAAACTAAAAGCGAGTGGGGTCATTTTGAAAAATCAGCAAAAGATTTTATTAGTGAATATATGAAATCCGAAAATATTGAATTAGAAAGTGACCTAAACAAAAGAATGGTTTGCAAAATTCCAAAAAAACCAAAAGAAAAAGAATTAAAAGAAAAAGAATTAAAAGAAAAAAAATCAAAAGAAAAAAAATCAAAAGAAAAAAAATTAAGTTTTTTTAATACGGGTAAATCCTCTGAATTAGAAAGTGAAATCTCTAAACTAAAAGAAGAAAAAGAGAAAATACAAACTGAATACAATACCTACAAAAAATTAAAAGACCAAGAGCTCATTAAACTTAACGAGATAAACGAAACAACCATGTCTCAAATGAAAAAACATGAAGAAGAATGCTCAAAAGTTATTCAAGACTTTAAAAAAGTATCTCATAAATTTGAAGATGAGAAACAAAGACAACTCAATGAATTTGAACAAAAGCTTAAAGAGATTAAAATACAAAATGAACAAGATGTTACACATATTTATGCTGAAACAAAAGAAATACAAAAGGAAATAAAGGCTTTAAAAAAAGACATTGAAACAAAAAACAAAAAATATAATGATTTAAGTCAACAATTGGATGGACTAAAGAAACAGTTATATGATTGTCTAATGATGCAAAACATTCCTAAAGGTGTTATTTTCAAATTGAAGACAAATACAGAATATTTTATTATTCTTGCATCAAGTCTTAGTGAACACAAAGTCTCTCTTCCTCGCGTAAATCAATGTATGTTAGGAGGTTCTTTTGAAGTTGAGTTATATCAGCTTGACCTCCAAAGTTGTAGTTTTGATAATCAAATTACCTTTCAAGAACAAGGGTCTCAATTGTCAAATGAAAAAAGATATGATGTGAGGATAGAAGTTATTGAACGTTCAGAGGATGAAAAGAAAGAAGAAGAAATAGTGGAGTGTATAGACAATCATCCAAAACATCAGTTATTTCAACAAATAGTTGAAATTCCTCTAAGCACATTTTTAACAGGAGGGGCAGTAGAGGTAAGTGTAGCAAATAACAGTTTAATAGTTCCAATTCTTGTTGGAGAAAAAGAAGGTCTTTCATTAACTTATGGCTCTGTTTCTACAGACAGTGATGGAAATATTATAGATGTCGTCTTAAAAACAAAATATCTTGATGACCCTCATTATCAAAGAGTAGGTGATGACTTAATTGGGGTTTTCCAATATTCACAAGAAAATGCTGGTGAAACAATCCCCATTCCTTATATTGTTGAAGGTCAGTCATTAGGAGACTTTGTTTTACAAACTGGAAAATATAGGTATCAAGGATATGGTTTTTCTTCACCAACAGGAATAAGAGGAGATTATTGGTTACATGTTAAACTTATTTAATTGAGGAATAAGTTAATTTTTATACTTTTTTAATAAGCAAAAAACAAGAAAAGAAACAAAGATAAGATTGTTTTATGATTTATTATAATATCTAATCTCAAAATGAAATAATAAAAATTTTAAAATAAGTTAATAAAATTTTTCTATAAAAATTAAAAACAACAATGCCTTTCTGTACGAACTGTGGTCAAAGTATTTCGTTTTCAGCCAAATTTTGTACTAATTGTGGGGTCTTAGTAAAATCAACTTCTTCTAATAATCTTAAAACTACAAACCCAACAATAACTAAATCTTCTACCTCATCTTCTCTAAAACCTGTTACAAGTATTAATACAACTTGTAGTACTAAACCAACTTCAAGTCCTTCAATAAGTACTAAAAAGAGTTATTTTGAAAGTAAAGATAAAGAAGTACAAAAGGAAAAGAAAGGAAAACAAGCCAAAGAAAAATCTCATATCCATTTTGTTTTTAGTAGTAGCCCTGACCCAATGACTCATAGCTTAACACCAACATCTTCAGACTTTGATTTTATACAAAGAGACCATAAAAACACTTATGAAAAACCTAAAAAACAAAAAGAAAAAGAAAAAGTTTGTTTTGAACAATCAAGTCAAGTAAAAAGTAGTTCATCATCATCTCCTTCATTGATAAACTTAAAAAAAAGAGGAGATGTTATTGTGTCTATTGGATCACCAAAATCATCTTCAACAAGTGGAATAAAGAAATGTAAATATTGTCATCAAAATATAAATGGAAATGAAAGTTATAAAATGATATTTGGGAATTATTATCATGACAAATGTGTTCATTGTTATAAATGTAATCAAAGAATATATTCTACTTCAAAATATTATAATCATAAAGGAAAAATTATTTGTCATCCATGTATGTTAAATAAATTACCTAAATGTGCTCGTTGTAATAACCCAATTAAAGGAAAATATATTGTTGTTGGGAATAAAAATTATCATCCAGAATGTGCTCCTTCTTGTTAAATCATTTTATTTTTATTATATTTTTTTTTTGTTTTGATTCTAAATTTTATTTATAAATACTTTTATTCATATCTTATTACTAAAACTTTTTTTCAGTAAAAATGTATGTCATAATAATATTTCTTGTTAATTATTATTCGTCTTAATAGAGTTTTAATACAGTTTTGTTGAAATAATTGTTTTTAAATCACAGAACTTCAAAAAATAGAATTTTAAAACATTGACTCATTTGCTAAATTATTCAGCTACAAAAAGGAATATATTCAACACTAAAAATAAAAGTTCTTGAAAAGAACTAAATATGAGAAAAAGGTTCAACTCAAAATAGAATTTAAAGGTCAAACTTTAAATTTCCAAATAAATAATGTCTACTTGCCCAGTATGTGGAAAAAAAGCTTATCAAATGGAGTCTATTGTTATTGAAGGAATTACTATGCACAAAAATTGTTTTAGATGTAGTGTTTGTAAGAAAACATTAAATGGATCTAACTTTGCAAAGAACCATGGAATTTATTATTGCAAAGTCCATTTCCAACAAATGTTTAAAGAAAAAGGAAACTATGATGAAGGTTTTGGTTATACAAAACGTAGTGCTAACTGGGAAAAGAAAGATGAAGAGCATCATGCTGAGCCTAAGAAAGAAGAACCTAAGAAAGAAGAACCTAAGAAAGAAGAATGTCATGCTGAACCTAAGAAAGAAGAGCCTACTTTTTCTCCTGAAACAAAAACACTTATAGAAAATATTTTAAAACAATTAGATAAAATTGATGGAACTTGCACTAAATTAGAAAGTTGTGGAATTATTACTCCAGTAAGTTCAAATCAAATAGACCAAATTTTTGATAGACTTGATGCTGCTCTTTGCAAATTAGAAAAGAAATAAATTCATTTCATTTTTCTCTTCAACTAACAATTTTTTCTTCTTTTTATAAGATTAGCAGAAGACCTTCTCAATATTAATATTGAAAACAAAGACTAATTAATTAACAATGTTATTTTGATTCTGTAATGATAACTTCTGGTGTATTATCATTTTGTTCACTTCTTTGAGACTGATTATCTAGTTGTGGTAGTTGTTCTTTAGGCATATCAACTACTTCTTGTGTTTGATGTAATTTTGATTTCTCTATTTGGATTGGGTTTTGAGTGAGATGAGTTTTTAATTCGATTTCTTGTTCAGAGTTTTTAGTTGATTGCTTCAAATTTTGGTCATCAGATTTAATGACATTTCCTTGGGAATCAAACTTAAGACCTGCATAAGGCTTTTGTTGTTCATCTCTTAAAGCCTTTTTGGATTTAAAATAATCAAAGAACAAACAACCGATAATAACTCCATGAGCAGCAGCAAAAAGAGCTACAATTATTTCATAAACTCCAAAATAAGTGATATAGTCTATATTGCATTGAATAGAAGAAGGTTTTGATATAGAGTGTGTAAAATCAACTGTATTAAGAAGTTCATTATTACAAAACTTATCAGAATTAAATCCCATCACTGTGTCAGTAATGCCAACAATAAGAAGAAGAAAACTAAATGCAATATATGCTAAGATAAAGATTATCGATATTTTTTGAACTAACACAGAACCAAATACGAACGACACTATTGAAAGGATAAAGGTAAGCATTGTAGCAAATAAATGACAAATAACTTGGTACGTCAAAGGTGGCATACAATAAAATTTATACACACCAACATCAGTAAAGTAAATAAAGTCAAGTGGACGGTTTTCTTTGAATGGGTATGAGTGACATGTTCCATTAGTAGATTCAAAAGTAAGGTCCATCTACGAATGAATATTTGACTATTTTTAATTTTTGATAAAAACAAACATAAATACCATCAGTCTCTTCTGATTTGCCATATAAAATAAATTGATAAGAAAAAGCAACAAGTGACATAATTCCACAAAATGCTGTTAAAATAACAAGAAGCTTAAATGATGTTTTTTGACTTTGAACACGTCTGAAGTAATCCTTGAAATGGGACATCAATGGTAGAAATTTAAGATTCTATCAGTTTCTTTCTTGTTTTAGAAATTACTGACAGATAGGAAAAAAATAATCTAATAATTCGGGATAATGTTGAAACTTCTGAAAAAAGGAAATTGATTTGAAGAACTAAAAGAAAATAATTGTTTAAGAAAATTAAAAAAAACAACAAATCAATTATTCTTTTTACCCAAAAAATAAATAAAAAAATAAAAAAAAACAAACAGAAAAAGATGAGTAAAGACAATGAAGATTATCAAAATGATGAAAAGATGTTAGAAGAATATAATAAATTAATTGAAAATAATGGAACAGACTCAGAGTTATTTGCAAAACGAGGAATGTGCTATTACTCACTTGGTAAATATATGGAAGCATTTACTGATGGAGTTACTTCAGCACGACTAAACCCTAATGTGACTGATGGGTTAAAACCAATTGCATTGTCATTAATTAAAATGGAAAAGTATCAAGAAGCAAGAAGAGTAATTGAAAAAGCAATGTCAATGGAAGAAACGAATGAGTATTGGAAAAAATTACATTTAGAAGTATTAGAAAAAGATACAATTCAATTTGACCCAATGCATGTTTTTGATAATTGGGAAGAAAAATTAATGTCAAATGAACGTACAAAGAAGTATTTAAAAGATGAAAGTTTCAAAGAATATTTAAGTGATTATGTAAATAATCCAATGTTATTTAAAAGTGGTGTAAAAGACCCAAAAATTTCAGAGTGTTTAATGGTATTAATGGGTGTTGATATGAACCAATTTTTAAATGCACAAAATACTAACTCCTTATGGAGTGAAGCAATTACAAAGGAAAAACAAAGAGAATTAAAAAAAGAAATGGATGAAAAAGGAATAGATGTTAATAATGATAAGAACGAATCATCTCAAGAAGTAAAAGATTTTCTTAAGAATGTTACTCAGAAAAAATCAAAACCATTTATTCCACCAAAAAATAATGAAGAACGTATTATTGAAGCAGAAAAAGAAAAAGAAAAAGGAAATGAGTTTTATAAACAAAAAATGTTTCAAGAAGCAATTGAATGTTATAATCGTGCGATGATGTTAGATAAAACAAATATAATATATCAATTAAATAAATCAGCTGTTTATTATGAAATGAAACAATGGAGATTTGTAATTCAAATTTGTAGTAATTTAATTAATAAAATTACTGATCAAAAAAGACATGGAAGAATTGCTTTTAGATTAGCAAATGCATATTTTGAAGTAAAAGAATTAGAAAATGCTGAGAAATATTTTGACATTGCAATAAAAGATGGAATAAATGAAGCTAAAACAAAATATGAAGAAGTCAAAGAATTAATTGAACAAGAGCAAGAAAGAAAAATACTTAAAGGACCAACAATGAATTCAGATATTGAAAGATATTTAATGCATGATGAAGTTCGTGAAATTATTAGACTAATTAATGAAAATCCAAATAATTTAAAAAAATTAAGAAAAGACCCCAAATATCGACAGTATATAGAAAAAATGATTCAATTAGGAATATTACAGTCACAAACATAAAATTACTTCTTTTTTTATTCTCTTTTATTATGTTATTTATTATTATACTACTTTTTATAATAAAAATAATAAAAATTCAATTATAATAAATAAATAAAAACTATGCAACGTTTTCATTTACAATATACTTATCTAAGGTCTTCACTTACAATACCAAAAATATGAAAGGTGTCTAAATAATCTACCAACCTATCTAATGTTAATTGTTCAGGTGGAATTATTTTTCCTATTGCCATTACTATTTGATCATTAATTTCATAATCAACACCTTTTTTACTAAAATCATGTGGTACTTTATTTTTAAATTCTTCATGAGTAAATACATTAAGTTTATTATATTCATTGGCTAATTCTTTTGCTTGAATTTTTGACATTAAAGAATCTTCAGGACTTTGTTCATTAATGGTTTTTTGTAAATCTCTTAATTCATCAGATAATCGGACATGTTCTAAGTAATTTTCATATTCCTTTAAATCATCGTCTGAGATAAAGTCAAAATCATCATCAGAAAATGAACCTGTATCATCTTCACCAAAATCAATTTCACATTTATTTTGCATAATCTCTTTTACAAGATCTACCATAGCCTCTCTATCACATGGATAAGCGTATTTAATTTGATCAAGATATTCTTGTGGAGTACTGAGAGGTAATGATTTAACTAACTCATTATATTGCTCTATGTTAAGTGGTGATTTTGACTTTGGAATAAATGACTCGACATCTAAATCAAAAGAGTTTTGATGTGCACTCATCTTTATTTATTATTTTTAGTTAATATTAAAAATTTCTTTTTTTTATTATTCATTTTCAAAAAAGAATTATGATTATCTCCTTATGAAGATTGAAATGTGATAAATAACAAAATTTATTTAGTTTTTACGTTTTTTACAATGAAACCAAAACCTTTGATTCTTACTTCCATCATAAGGTTCTAATATAAGTGAAGAATCGTCACAATATACACCCTCTTCAACAGTAATACATCTATTTGAATATTTTTTATTGTAAATTATACTACCTTCTCTATTATTTTCTTCTACAATCCAAAGTTCATCTTCTGTTAGTGCCTTTTCCTTTTGTACAATTTCTAATCTTCCACTCCCATCATTGTGAACAGACAGTACTTTTCCTGTTTGACTATTAATTATTCGGCCATCTATTAATAAAAATAGTTGACTTTTCCTTCTCATGCTTGAGATTATTAATTCATTATCTTCTCCTATATCAACTACATATTGTTTACAACCTGCAGACTTTATTTGATAAACAGGTGGTTTTTTATTCATGAGAAATAGAAATTATAAATATATAGAGACAACCAAACCCTTTCTAGTTATTTTATGTTCAACAAAAAAATAAAAACAATTAAACGTTCAAGAAAAAAAAATAAGTTAGTTATAAGATTTAAAAGAGATAAAAACAGTCATTTATAAAAACATGAAATAATCATCATTATCATGGTTGTCTTCATCGTCATAATCAGACTCATCGAAAGAAGAATCTAAACCTAATTGTTTATCAAATTGAACAGATTTACAAAGTCGTTGATTAGTAAAATCTTCGACAAAATCATGCTCCATACAATAACTATCATCATAAACAGGAGCTGATAGAATATGTGAGACTGGATTATAGTCTCGTGGTGGGACAATGACTTTATGAATATCATCATCTTCCTTCATTTTTAAATGTTTAACAATTGGCTCATTTGGAGTTACCAATTCATCTTCATGAGAGAAATAATTTTCTTCTTCTTCTTCATCGAAACAATAATCATCATCACAATCTTGAATAATATAATCTCTATTTTGTGAATATTAAATTAAATGAAAATACCTAATATAAACCATAAATTTACTGCAGAATTACTGCACACTGCTCAATTAAAAAAAAGGTATGATAAAAGGTCTTTTTCTATAGAAAGAGTCCTTTTGTTATATCCTCTTTACTTAAAAGTAATTGTGTATTAAAAAGAAAAACATCAAATTACTTTCTTTAGAATCAAGTGCACTATTCTAAACTTTAAATAGTTAATCGAATAGTGTTTGATAATTTTAATATTTATTTACAAACGTTGTATCAAAAAATATATGTTGAGCAGATGGCTTGACTACGTTCATGAAAGAAGTGATATTAAAAATGACTTCCACAATCTTTAAATAAAAAGAAGAGTTTAGAATTGGAAGGTTCTAAGGGTTTGAATGGATTTTTAATGTATCAAAGTTTAATTTATTTAGTTAAATATTCTAATTAATCTATTTTTCTTTATCATCATTTTTTTTATTTTTAATACATTAAAACCCTGATTTTTTGGCTTTTTCCATTTATATTAAATGTAGCCACGTCATCTAACTTCGAGAAAGGATTTTCTATTGACGTTTGCTTCCGTTTTTTAATAGAAACTCAGCTATTCATTTTTTTTACTTTTTCAGTATAAACGATTTATAAAAATACCAAATGAAATATAAATGTGTTATATATAACATCAATAAGAAAAAATTTATTCAATTTTAAAAAACAAAAACAAACTGTTGTATCTATTATTTTTGTAAAGACTAAAAGTATTTGGTTATTTCTATGAGTTTTTAGTCATGAAGAACCTTGGACAGTACGTCATTTTTCTAGAAGAGTTAGACTCATTTGTAAATGTTACCTCAGAATATTTCAACAGAATAAGAGGTAAATGAAAAGTATAAAATGTGTTTATTTGTATCCAATTTTCCAAATAATTGAAAAATGAATAAATACCAATTTGTTCAATATTTTTTATTTTGACACAGATAAGTCTTTAAGAAGAATAACGTCGATGACTTTTGTGTCAGACATAGAGTGAACTTAGGATAGGTATCAAAATAAAGAGTATTATAGAGGATGATGGTTTTATTTTATTCTATGATAATGTGCTTGATTATGCCTTTTTAATTCCTCTAATAACTGTTTTTGTTTCTTTGTATTTGTACAGAACTTGTTAACTATGTGATATTTTACCAAATAAAGTTTCTTTTTTGTTTTATAGTTCATTCTCTTTACTCTAAAAAAAGAGTATTATTTCTCGAATAATTTATTGAGGTTTATTTATAACTCAGTTTTGAGTTATTTCAATAAAATAAAAAAGAAGGGTGAAAAAAAAATAATTAACTAATAAGAAAGCATGGAAATAAGATCATACACAATAATGGTAACATTATTATATTTTAATACTATTAATTTAGAAATTGGTTTTAAAAGATTTCAAGAAAATACAGAATAATTTAATTATAATCTAATTCCATTGAATCAATAATATTAAAATATTTCATATCCATTATAGAAATAATGAAACATTTGATGATGGAAGAATAATTCAACAACTATTATGGTATAACTTAGTTATTCAAGACAGTTAAAAGAAATAACCACAGTAGATATTATTAAAGTCATAAGTACAGAATCAAATAGAAACAATAAGGACAACAAATGAATAAAAACTAATTCAGTTGTGAAGTTTTTATAACTATGAAAATTAAAAGAGAGACATTTGATCAATAGTTATAAATTTAAGTTAAATATTTTCATTTTTATATTCATTTAACATTATTTCTAATTGTAGTCATATATACATTTTTAGTGTTAAATTTTTTTCGTTCTCAAATATTTCTTTTTTTATGTTAAAATAATTTCAAAGGCATACATGTATTAACTCTGAATTTATTATGATATTTTTCTTTTGTTTATTTGAAGAGATATTGTCTTTTTGAAAAAGAGCTTTTTATTATTTTAGCCAGAAAAAAAATTATTGGAAGTTTTTTTAACTAAATGTTGTACTAATAAAATACATATGCTCTGATTAGTATTTTGTCTTAATATTGTTCTTTCTCATTTACTTGTTTATTTGTATTTTTTCTTTGATTAGTATTACAAATGATAAAAATTATCTGTTTATTTTTATTGCAATAGTTTTTGGTTTAAATATTAAGTAATAAATTTAAATCATATCGAGAAATATTGATTATTTTTTTAGAGAAAGATAAGTTTTTAATTAATTATTGTTGATGTAATTAAAAATATCTATCAAAATAACAATAAAAGAATGAAATACAATTCCTACTTTTCCTTTCTAAAAATGAATGGATAGTAGTATTTTGTCTTTTTATTATTGCATAAGTAAAAAATTTCTAAGAACAAAAACATAATAAATGAAAGATTTCAATTAACTTGGTTTTAAACAAGAACAAAACAGAATAGCAATGTTCATTTATATTGTTCTATTTATTTTTAAACAATATATGTCAATTTTCTTCAATAAACATAGTAATAATTTTAATTTTGTACTTTTTAACAGACAATTTATATGTTTTTTTCAATAAAATTTATTATTAAAAAAATCTCTAAGAAATGCTCTGTATTTCTTTTCTTTTAGAAATATTATCTTATGTCTTGATATAACAATTTAGCAATATTTTATTAAATTTTTATTTTAGATGAATGAAACCAGTTTATAATTTCTTACGACTTTTATTTTACTTAATGTATTATAACGTATTTTATTTGATTAATTTCATTGGATTCATAAAATCAATATTTATTGATTGTTATTTTGATTATACATATAACAGTATTAATGTTTATACACATGTGATATTAACTTATTTTTATTCTACTTCGTTTCATAAACATCGTTCTAAATTGAAACATTTTTAGCAATATCAATAGTTCATACAGTTTCATTTAATCATTTTAACATTATTTCTATTTTTTCTAATCAAATTAATAAATCTGTCAGACTTTACATTATATTTGTTAAATACTCAGCTAATTTGGTTAAAAAATAATTCTAGAATCAATCTCTTAAGTAGCAAGACTAATATGTTTTTATAACTAAGACATTGGAAATTTAATCGTTATTTTATTTAATTATTTATTTGTTCGTTTATTTTGCAATCAATTAATTTTGTATTCTCCAAATTGTTTACACAAACTAACAACTAGTTGTAATACAATATCTTTGTAATGGTTGTGTATTAGAAGAAAAGTTAATTAATCCTTTTAAAAATATTTAAAATTATTTCTAAAAGAAAGACTAAGTTTGTTAGAAATAAAAGAAAGGTTATAAAAATATCCTTGTTAAATAATTATCTATAACCCCTCTTTGAGTAAGAATAACACTATTCTAATACTGTGTTTTTAGTGGTATTGCAGTGTAAGTGTATATTTTATAATTTTATTTGGCGGTTAACAAAAAAGGAGGAGTTGTTTCTACTAATAATAACCCTATGACTAATAGCCATATGTAATCTGTTTTAGTGTTTGAAAAGTATTTACTAATTGATTGTTTAGTACTTTGTTTTTCTTTTTTAAACTTTCTCTTTAGTTTTTTTATCAAATATTGTCAATCAGTTAAATGTAATAGTTGAGACTAAGTCTTTAGAAGAAACAATAGAAGGAATGAAAAAATTTGATATTAAAGAACAACAATATGCATTTTACACAGGTCAAATGTCAAATGATGTTTCATTTTCATTTGGATATGGATTTATGGTTGATATTCGTGTTTATAAAGAAAATAATAAAAGAGTGAGTTATTGTGACCAAAATACGTATGAATATAAAGGAATATCAAATGCACTTTGTGGAAAACAACGTCCAGAGCGTTTTACACCAAAACATTTTATTGATATTTGAAGAAGGTTTTTCTTTTTTTCAAAATAGGGTGTGAATATAAAGAAATAATTTTTTTGTTTAACTAAAAATAGAATTTAAGTTTTTTTTGGTTATCAAGAATGTTTGTTTAAAATCTTCTTCTTTTTGAGGTTAACAATACTCCTCAATTGAAATAGCGAGAAAGGAACAAAAATTGTTTTAAGTTATTGTATAGTTTCATTCATTAAGAAAATTTTATTTATGGGAATATTTATAATACAAAAATTTGAAGAAGTAACTCATTCATTAATGTTAGTAAGAGAAATCATCAAATGTGCATGTTTTGCAGTAATCAAAATTATGTGCATCACACTGATGGGATTTGCAGCTTCAAAACTCTCTGGATTTAACACACAAGTGAGGTCAATTTTTTCTAAATTAATATTTACTTATTTTATGCCATGTGTTGTGCTCTATCAAGTAGCCACAGCAATAGACACTATTTCTGAGCTAAAAGAATTATGGATTCTTCCAGTCGCTAGCATCATTCATACCTCTCTTCAGTTTTTTCCTGTTTTAATAGCTTCATATATAATTAGAATACCAAAAGAAGAACGTAGTCTTTATTCTTTTGTTCTTGGTTTCGCAAATGTTTGTTTCTTTTCTTGAAATGGTTATTGAAGAAATTTATTTTATAGGTAATGTACATTCCAATGGCTGTTATTGAAGCATTAACTGGAGAGACAGATGAATTAGGAGAGAATGCTAAGAGTAAAGCGAATCAATATATATGTGCGTATCAAATATCTTTTATGGTGACATTTTTCATTATTGGATATGACTATTTTAGTCTTACTACAAGAGAGCCGGAAAATAAGGGAAAAAATGAGTCTCAAATAAAAGAGCCTGGAGAAGTGGCTATTGAAATGGAAGAAACTCAACCTGTAGAAAAAAAAGAGGAAGATTCTAAAGAAGTTGAGGTTAAACAATCAACGAAATCAGAAGAAATTTCTAAAGACATTGAAACTCCAAAACCTTCAAAAGAAGAGGATAAAAATATACCTAAAGAAGATAAAAATATACCTAAAGAAGATGAAACTTTAACTAAAGAAGATGAGAACTTACCTAAAGAAGATAAAACTTTAAATAAGGAAGGTAGTACAAATATACAAACAGAAGAAATTATTAAAATAGATAAAACTTCATCTAAAGAAGAAGATAGTAAGGTAGATGAAGCTATATCTAATAATAAAAAAGATATGTCTGGGGAATCATCTAAAATAAACAAGATGAAAATAGAAATAGATAAGTTCAAAAAGAAGTTACATAAAATTAAAAAGACATTATGTTATCCTTTTGTTTATGTATGGAACAAACTCCCTTCAATTGTTAGGTCTTCAATTAAAAACTTCTTTTCTCCACCTACTATTTGTACTATTATTGGGGTTATTCTAATGTTACTTAAATGGGTGAGAGACCCTTTGTTTATAAGAACTGATTGGAGTATCATTGGAAGATGTATTAATTACATGGGAAGTGCTGCTGTGTTTTGTGCTTTGTTTCTTCTTGGTGGAAGTTTTGAGAAAGGACCTTTTGGTAGTTCTATTCCATTTTGGAAGATTGTAATTGGTGTTTTTGTGAGAATGGTACTCTTTCCAGCTGTTTCATGGGTTTGTACATTCTTTATGTGGAAATATGATATTCTTCCTTCAAATAAAGTATTTTACTTTGTTCTACAAATGGAGTCATTTGCCCCACCTGCTATTAATGGTTTAATTGTTGTTAATGTGTGTTATCCAAAAGGAGTTAAATCATGTTCAGCAATTTTGTTTTGGTGCTATATGTTCGCTATATTAAACATCATTTTTGGTGTTGTTTTATCAATGAAATCTTTAGAATGGAAATAAAATGTACTAATGTTAAATTGAGAAGTGTTTTAGTTTTTGGTTATATGAACATTAATATATAAAAAGTTATTGAGATTAGTTTTTATGAAATTTTGTATCAATTTAAACATCTTTAATTGGAGAATATCTTTTTTATGATGTAAGTTTATTTTAAAAAATTGTTGAATTAATAATAATGAGATTTCACTATTTTTAAATTAGACTTATTTTCTTGATAAGTATTATTTATTTCATTCTCTTTATTTGGACGTTTCTTGAGTAATATTTTGTTTTATATTTTAATTATATGGGTAATAATTATTTTACACTCTTGTTTATGTTTTGTTATAAAAGATATTCAGTTGTTATTGGTTATTGACCATTTTATATAATTCAAAATTATAAAGAATTACAATTGTCATTCTTAAATTTCAGGATTATTTTTACTATAAGAACAAAAGACTTTATTTTAAATTACTACTTTAATACGACTATGAAATTGAAATTTGAATGGTTTAATCTTTTCTATAGTTTCAAACACTAGGTTATTCGATATCTCTTTTTTGATTCAATTACTTTTAAATATTCTGTTCATTCACTAACATTATTACTGATTTATGTAATATTTACTTATTATATATTATTTTCTTATTTTATCATTTTTTTGAAGTTATTCATTCGTAATATAATTGATTTATTTCTTTATTTTTCTTATTCACTTTTGTTTTAATATTCATTTATGCTTTACCCTTTTTACACCACTACTAATTTTATACTCTATATCATTTATTTATTATGAACATACACTAAATAGGTGTTTCATTTACATTTTATTTTTATTTGTACCATAAACAGTTATAATATTGGAAGAATCATATAAGAGAGAAGTATGACGTATAATGGAATTAATTAGAAGAATTGCACTTCATTGTGATTATTATTGTTAATTCAGATCAATTTATTATTTCTTTTCATATTTTCTTGTGTTATTATTTAGTTCTTGTGATATTAGTCATTTCCATTTATCATTTCTTCAAAAACTCCTTCATGTTTCTTCTTATGTTATTATGTTTAATGTTTGATATAATATACTTCTTTTAAAATTTATCCTTATACAGTCACTGTTTCTAATTATTAAGTATAATTAGCGGTGATTAAAGAAGATATGATCTATTGAAAGTGTTTTGCTTCTTCATTTTAGTATTAGTTAAAAGAAATTTCATCATCAAAAATTATTATGATATTATTACGATATTATTCTTTTTGTTATTTATTCATCATTTTAAAAATAAATTTATTAAAATGATGTTTCATTGAATGTGTTAAATAAATAATATTTAACTTGATGTGTTAATAAC